TCTTTAGGTCAATAATTTTTTTTAAATGTATTTATTTACTTATTGATTTATTGAGTTAATCTGTTCAAAGCACTGTTTTAGAACATATTCGCTGTCTTCAAGGAGCTAATTAAACAAAAAGTTCTCACATGGTGCTAAAACTCTTTGGAATACAATTTCTTTTAAAACCAATGTCCCGGGCCGGCCCCGTGGTGCGCTTGGGAGAGTGCGGGGCTGGGAGCGCAGCGATGCTCCCGCCGCGGGTTCGGATCCTATATAGGAATGGTCGGGTTCGGATCCTATATAGGAATGGTCGGTGCGCTCACTGGCTGAGCGTGGTGCGGGCGACACCACACCAAGGGTTGCAATCCCCTTACTGGTCACGGAAAAGACCAAAAAGAAAAAAAAATAATAATAAAACCGATGTCCCCTCTCCTTAAATCTATATATACTGAGTAAAAGACATGAATAAAAAATTTAATAAGATACATGAAAGATGATAAGAATAAAAATTTAGGCAAGACAGATTCCCCAGATATCTTACTCTTACTGGCTAAAATTCTGGCACTGTCTTCAAGCAGAAAGTCTTTTCTTTTTTTTTTCTTTTTTTAACATTTACCAGTTTATTACAAAGGATATTACAAAGAAAACAGATAAAGAGATGCATAGGGCAAGGTATGGAAGAAAGGGTGTGGAGCTTTCATGCCCTCTCCAGGTGTGCCACCTTCTGGAAACCTCTGTATACTCAGCTATCTGGGAGCTCCCAAAGAGTTTTGATGACAAGGAAAAAGGCACACAGGAACATTTTTAGTCATCCTTTTTCAGGGTAGGGAGAGGATCAGATCAAATAACTTCCTTCCCTTCTCAAATTCCAATAAAAACCTCTAACAAGATGTAAAGAAACCAGTATCTCTTAGCAATTAGGAAAGGTAGACAGAAACAGGGAAAACTGCATTCTTCAACACAAGGAACTGCTGGAATCACAGCATCTGAAGATGCAAAACAGCCTTTACCAGAGATTCATACCTCAGAGGTAACTTCTACG